AAATATTTGCACTTATTGCAATTTGTGAATTTTGGTGCAATTATAAAATTTTTAAGGATTCTTAATGATCTATTTTATGTTATTAATGCAGGCATTTTACATGGATAGGAATAGAAAGCCCTAATGAAAACTAACAATGTAGAAGACTGAAAAAAGTATTTTGCAATAGCAGATTATTTAAGAAATTTGCGTGATAAGGACAAAAACTTGATTTGAAAATAAAATCGAAAAATAGCTTTACTGAGTTTTACAGCTTGCATAAAAAGTTTTCCTAACTTTTCAATTATATGAAGATAATGTCCCGAGTTAACATGAAAATTGTTACCATATGCAAATGAGGTGGTAACTCGTACCACCAGAGAACTTGAATCAGTTATAAATTGGATAAGAATAATATGATGAGAAGAGTTTTATTTGGTTTTAATGTAAATGTGTCAGATTCTCTAATAAAAAACTGACACATGATCGTTTTTAACTTTGTGAAATTTTCACCTGTTTTTACCTTGTTAAGAAGTTTTATTCTTCAAAACCATTGTAACTGATACTTCTGTGGTTGGATTAAAGAATAAAGATAGACTCGAAAATATTATATATTTGTTAATAGTCTAAACTTCAAATATATTTTCCTAACTTGTTTGGTAAAATTGGTGAGACGAAAAAGCAACAATATTCGCTTTTTTATTGCTTCAGTCAAAACAACTTAGAAACATTAGAACTAACTTTGTTAGTATTGAGGAATCATTCAAGATGATTGTGCGAAATGTTCTAAAGATGTGTTTAAAAGTTTAATTGAATATGATAGACGTAATGATCTTTGGCTTTCTCACACGTGTATTGGAAGAAATGATTTGATCTATGTATTTAAGATTACTGTTACATTATGCTGTTAAGAACATGCAATTAGTATTATGTTCTGTAAAAAATCGAACAGGAGATCACAATAAAATTAATAATTAACATAACCAAACAATTAGATATTGCAAAAATAAAAACGCGTATTTCAAAAATAATTCCAAGAATATTTTTCAATATGATAAAAATTTCACTGAACCACATTAGATAAAAAAATCTTCAGATGTTTCATAAGGAGTAACTCAAAATCCACATAACATAGAAACCATCGGGTTGAAAAATGAGATAGAGCATCAAAAAATACTCTTAGGAAATAGAAATTTAAGTTGTTCTTTTTCTTTGCCTTCGCTTTTCCAACGTAAACGTCAAAAACAATACGAGGTTTTTTAACTCACGATATGGCGATTTTTTCTACAGTAAAACCTCTTCCCGATTCCAATGTACCAATAGTAACAACAGAGAGCTGCCGTTCTATTTGTTATAGCTGCATGAACGCGTGTCCAATAAACAAGTAGCGACTGTCAGAATACAAATAAAGTGTCCCAAATTGACCTTGACATTTTCCAGCTAGCTACAGCATAAACGATTCATCAGAAAAAGCTGCCTCTAACTTCTTACTCTTCGACCTGTAAGAATTAAAATTTAGTAGTATTAATCCACTGCACCATTTACAGAAATTTCAATTAAAATTTTAGAAACTTTTGACAAAAGGCACAGATTCAAAATACACGAACAAATTCGTGGCCTCTTACTAACACTTATACATAGAGAAAAACTCCGAAATTTGTGTGCATTTTACGAAGTTTTCGGGTCTCTGAGTCTAAAAATGTAAAAATTTTAAAGGTTTTCTTGACCAATTGCCATACTCTCGAATATAATAACAGGAAAAGTAAAAATAGAAATAAGAACGTGAACGAAAAGATAAATAAAAATTGAAAAAAAGTAGAAGAAATAACAAAAAGTGGAAGAGGAAGAAATGTAAAAAGTAATGGACAATTACAATAAATAACAGAACAAAATGTAAGAGGAAGAAGCCAATAATAATTTGTAAATATTGCTTCGCATTAACTGCAAAGATTTTCAGATGCCATTAAACACAATTTCCTATTTGAAACGAAGCAGTAATAAGAATAATAATACATAATTCCATATTCGTATTCAATCTCGCTATAATGTTTATTCATATAGAACTGTAAACACACTTTACAAAGAAACTAATTACTGCGCCTATATATACTGCAAAGTATCTCAGCAATTTTAAAAGCTTAGATATATTTAATGGGTTGCACATAATATAAGCTTAAGAGAAGTGGAAAATGAATAAATTGATCAGAAGAAAATGTACCTGCGCATAATTAGTTTCGCTTAAAACCTTTCTTAGTAGAATTTAGTAGAAATAATTTCCGTAGAGGATAATTAGGGTAAAATAAAGGCACATAAAGTAAAATAAACAAGTAAAAGTTCCATTAAATTGTTTAATTAATTGTACATCATAGAGCACTTACTCTAATTATAAGGTAATAAATATGCTTTCAAATTTTCAAATAAAATCAATATTAAACCATAGCAACGCAACACGAGACAATGACGTTATTGTCAGGTGTTTGCTGCAGTGTTTTTCGTAAATAGCGAATTTCGAAGACTAAAAATAATTAGTCTTGCTCAAAGAAATGCTGTCGCTTCGAGAAAAACAACGTTGTATCGGGTATTTGTTAGCCCCTGTATTAAATTCAGCTAAAGTATTTGGGCTGTACTTTTGGATTCCTTGTCCATGCATGGAAGAGGAGACAAAGGCAAAGTCTCATTTTCGACCGACTCTATTTAAGGCTTATTGTTCTTTCATAGAAATATTTCTGTGGGCAATGGTCTTACTTTCATCAATAAGATTACAAAATATGTATATTTATTTTTTAAGAGGTGTCAAAATATACGGAGATTACGCATTAGAAGCGTCAGTAGTTTGGGCTTTGTTATCGATATATATTGCTGGGCAGTTCAGTATTCTCAAAAGGAAAAAAATTTAACGTAACCAACACCTTATTGTTTTCTGAGGGAGTTTTATTATAAACGAACGTTTTCGATCTACTTAACGGATCATCATCAGGTTAGAATATACGAAAATGGAATACATCATAAATGGAACAATAAGTTCAAAAATTCAAAAATATCAATAAACTGATAACACATCAATTAATAAGAATAAAAAATAAATTGTAAACGATACCTAATAATAAATAATATACTACAAAGACTAAACATTAATACGATCTATCATGGCTAAATAGAAGCTGCTAAGTTTTTTTTAAATCAAATATATATTATATTTCAGTTGATGCGCTACTTGTAAGCTTTTTATCGGCAAATTTCCAAGCCGAGGGGAAGACGTTCCGCATCCCTAGCATTAATGCATCCTTCTTTAAGTTTCCTCCTGTATATCTCCATTTTTTCGGCCGTCTTCGCCAAAGTTGGTGAGTGTACTTGTCTCACGACTTCCGCGTCCTCCCATCCAACCAGAGAGGATTTTTTAAATAAATCTTCATTGATGTTTCTGAAAGCAAGAACCAAGGTTTTATGTAACAAGGTTTAACGATATAAAATATTGAATGATTATATCAGGTAACTTTTTAAGTACTGTACCTGTGAATCGGAATTCTCGCCTAAAGTACAGCAAAAACAACAGAATTTATAGAATTCTGTCAATTTTCTTTTTCTTAGTTGGATTCTGGTCTTGAAACTGTGAGTTTTCTTTCTTTCTTTATCTTGNTACCTTTCACAGTTTGTATCGTGTACTCTTTTTCTGTGCAGTTAAACGATTACTAGTTGTTCACATGGCATCCGAGACAAGAGTATGGCTCCCAAATAAATACTAAATCTAAATTATGTCCTGACGGCGGCAACTGCATTTGTCAGTTTCGGGCGTAGTTACAAGCCCAAATTGAACTTGACCTTTTTACAGCTAGCTACAGCAAAAACGATTCATCAGAAAGAGCTGCCGCAAAATACAGGAAGCGGTAGCTGAAATACGCTTAGATGCGCTCCAAAGCTCGCTCTCTTTCCCACCGAGGCTACGAGCCATTTTCGCTACGTAAACTACGGGGGCACGAAACATGCGCAATCTATACAACGTTGGCTCTAGTAAACGTGCTGCGTCATTGGACATTAGCGACGAGAGTTGAAACCAGACCTGTTTTTAAATTTATGCTTAGGATTAATTATTAATTCGTCCGGTTTTCCTGGAAATTGTAAAATTATGATAAAAAAATAAATTTATAAAAATATTTGCGAGTATTTTGCAAATATTAGGTTTGTTGAAACACAAGTTTGCATAACTGATTTAAAACTGGCATGCCCGTCATTCAGTTCTTGGCTGTAAAATAACATTGCGCGTGTTACTCGCTCTCTCTTGCTATCGTGACTACACTGTCTGTTGTGTTCTGTCAGCAGCGAGCGTACGCTCGTACCACTGTGCCAACAAAGGGAAACCCGCGAATAAAAAACCGTTCATTCGCGGTTTACCTCAATTCTTCGGGTATTCAAGTGAGCGGAATTTTGAAAAAAAATAATTGCACGGTCAAATATGGAAAGAAGATATTTCGTAGTTAATAAGATTAAATTGCATTTTGAATAAGTTTAAGCAACCGTTATTCGGAAAAGAGTCGATGACTAGAATTTTGTGTGACTGCTAAGAAGTGTTTCTCAGAAAATTTATGGAGCCGGAAATAGTTTCCAAATGTAGGTTGGAATTTTAAAAAACTTTTGAGGCCGGTTTTTGACCAACGGGCAAGGGTTTTTTCCAAGAGCATGGTTTTTGTTCACAACAACGCACGCCCACAGGGATTGCTCGAACACTTTCAATAGAAGTCGTTTTATCGTGCCAAGTTCGCACTGAATAACTTTTAGTTCTTTCCAAAAGTAAAATATGATCGTCTTCGAACATCCTAACTCTAACAAAATGGATTACACCTCGTCTCTGTGGGCATGAGTGAAAGACTACAGACAAAAATCAAAATGGTCTGTTTCTATAGAAAGACACTTCGAAATCGAAATTCTCGAAATTCTCTCAAAATATCGAAATTTTTAGCATTAAACTGAGACGCCACGCAACAATAGAATTTCGACAATTGTCTGTTGCTTTGTTCGAATGCGATTGTTTCGAGTATTTTCGAAGTTTTGCTATAATTTTCGCGATAATTTTAAGTAAGTTTAGTCCCTGATATTTCTAGATTTAGGTATTTTTTAACATTGCTAGGTACTTAATCACAATTAGCAGCGATAATTTTCCCACAACGAATATTCCATTACAACTTTATATTCGTTTTTGTTTAGAATATTTCTTATACTTAAAACGATCATTTTCTATAATTTTCTGTCGTATTTACATTATGATTTTTTAATATTTTCTTAATTTAGCTTTCGTTCTACAATATTTAATACTCGGTTTTTATTGTTTGCAGGATGGATAATTTTAAAGCGCTAAAGAATTGGAATACCTGTGGAGGAGAGAGTGCGGAGGAAAGCTCCTCGACATCAGGAACGTCTTCCTCTTCGATTCGAGTGATTCGCGTGCGTCCGAAAGAAGTGCTGGAGGGTGCGAAGGAACCCGACAAGAAACGGGTGATTGTCACCATTCCCGATGAGAGCACGTCGTCTGTCATCGACTACCTGGAACAGAGATATCCAGAAGTTCCGGAATGGTCGGTGCAGAGAGAGACACGCGAGGAAGGAGTCGAAGGGGAGTGTAAATCGATCCTGAAAAAGAGGAAAAAGAAGCCTTGGTGGAAGAAGATTTTCTTCTTCTGGAAGAAATAAATCTCCGAGGTCTTCTTATTAAATGTGACTTTTATTTTCGATTGTGACATTTTTACCCGGATGTGACTTTTATTCCCGATTGTGACATTTTTACCCGGATGTGGACTTTTACCTGGCTTTGACCTAATGACCGGATGTGACTTTTAATGGCGGTTTGGCGTCTTCCCTTG